ATATATATGTCTCTCTCTCTCCCTCTTTCTCTCTCTCTCTCTCTCTCTCTCTCTCTCTCTCTCTCTCTCTCTCCCTCCCTCTTCGTCTACCCAAATACAAGCAGCGCTTCTGTACAGATCAAAATACGAATTGTTGGCCGGTGTTATGCTGTGGTTTGTTCCTTCTTTCCTGTCCAAAAATCTATCGTCTTCATCAGAATCTCTGCCTTTTTTTCATATGTTATCCTCCAGTAACGCTTTTAATCTTTAGCACTTATATGAACTAATTGTGTTGAAAGTACCGTGAAACTCTTACTAAAACAAAAACCACTACAACGCATCAACATCTATGCTCATACACTCATTGACCGGAGCCGGCACAACACTTTTGACACCCATGTCGACTGACAGCTTAATGTCTGTTTCTATTTTTCTATACTATTAAAGCCATTGTCCAATCCAGACTAAGGCGCGGCGGTCGACGTCACAATGTATGGACAACCCACGCTCACCTGAGGTTATGAGGTACTGACAATACGTTACCTTAGAATGACAAAGTTCTATTTGACATTTTTTGGCCGTTTTGAGTTACTAAGACCATGAAGTAAGAAACCAGATTATGTTCTATCTGAATCTGTTATATCAAAATCGTAAGATTATTCGGAGCCATTATCAAGATATTCAAAGATATTCGAATTATATTCGAAAACGATTGGCATGGTGTGAAACTAAAAATCTTCGACGTCAAATTTCTCAAAACTAGCTACTGTACAGATATAAATTTGTGGGTGGTTGGCGGGTGCTCTGGTGTGGTTTGCTTCTTCTTTCCTATCAAACATCTATCGTCCTTATCTCCCCAGCTTCTTTTTTTATGTTTGTTACTCTGTTGTAACACCTTTAATCTTCTGGCACTCATAATATGACCTTAAGCAGTTGCGCACGCCGTAAAACTTCTACTAAACAAACAAGATATAACATTGTTATTCCGAGGTTGCAAATTTTAGTGCTGTGCTACTTGGAGAACACAAACTTCATCGACGTTGTTTCAAAGCTTGAAGTAACTATGAGTGCTATTTGAATACCGTGTGCAAACATGATTTTTTAAATTAAATTCCTTTTTTTTTTGCTCTTATACCTTAGAGGCTTGTTTTACATCTCTTGTTGGCTCAACCTATCACTATACCAGTGTCATAATCATCAAGTACAATGTATTTCTGTATTTACCATAGTCATTTTAGATATAATATGCTCTAATTTTTTGACGGGTTGAGACGAATGAGGCAAAAATCTATTGTTCATTAAAAAAATCACACGGCATTTGAAAGTCGCTACCACGCTTGGAATTGCTGTCAATAGCGGAATTATCGTGAATGTTGAATAGTAAAGTATGATGGCCGCAACTGTAGTGTTACATAAGAACACCACAGAGAGTGGAAGGCACCGCGCCTATCAGGTGTTACGAAAGCCTAGTCTCAGTCTCCCTTAGGCCAATATGTCATTGTGTGGCGTCGCGGTGAAATCAGGCGCTCGTCCGAATAACAAATTTGAAGAAACCGGCATTTTTATCCACACTACTTTTTAGCGCTACATCTTTTATGCCTACTTAAAAACATACTTATGTGTGCATTTTTCTTCTTTTTAAAAAAATTAACCAAAAGCAAAAAAATGTTATTCTACAGTTTCTTAGGACACTCAACCGTTAGAATTCTTCAAATTTTGGCGGCCATTTTGTCGCTAATATTTCTTCTAACAATACATGGACGACCCCCACCTACTTAAATCGCTTACATTTCAAAAGCAAGACAAACGAAAAGGCTTTCAGATTAAACCATAAACTCCATACGCACAAACTGACGAGCGCTTGATTTCACGGCGTCGCTTCACATATGAATAATGCGTGAGTGAGTCGAACTACTTTCTACACAAAACGACCTCCGCTGAACAAAAAGTGTCGAAGGGAGTGAGTTAAAGTTTAGCGAAACTTCAGTTCACCCATTATTGATGTCGCCCATAATCCGGATGTAGGAAATGGCGCAGAGCTTATTGTCGAAGAGGCTTTGAAAAGGCTTTCAGGGATATGCACGGTATTACCGCTTTCAGCCAATGGGGGAAAAAGAAAAAGAGTACATCAGGGTCACGCGGATGACTCAGTTTTAGTCTGACTTCCATAGACTAGTTCAAGAGCAGGTGGACACTAATCAAGACCAACAATTCAAGAATTGCAGCTGCCCACCCGAATTCTACCTCTCTCTCCCCGTTCTTTCGGGGGAAAAGAAGTTGTCATCTTAGATAAGTATTCCTCTCAGACAATGACATTATAATATAACTCCCCACACCCCCGCCCCCCTACAACTTCCACAAAAAAGAGAAAAAAAAGAAAAAATAAGAAAAAGAGAAAAGAAAGAAAAAATAATTGCAACAGATGTGGACAATGGCTGTTTGTATAGGTGATTCGTTACCTTAGAATTACAAAGTTTTACTTGATATTTTTGGCCGTTTTGAGTCACTAAGAACATTCTAATAATAATTAATAATTGCATATATATAGCGCATATCCATGCTCAAGAGCATGCTCTATGCGCTTTACAACTATTATTACCCCAGCAGACCCTCTGAGAACACTCAGAAACATTCTCAGCTTCCGCGGAAGCATACAGTGCAAGCTGCGGATTTCACGCGCTCAAACACTATCAAACTGA